ATGGCTCTATCTTTGCCACACAAATCTACTATATCATCCCAATTTTCTATAACTTTAAATCGAAAAGCTCTAGCATCGTCATGAGACTACCAAACAAATAATCAAAGTCAAATAAGAATCTTATAAGTACTCTTTAACAACAGAAAAAAAACAGAGCACATGATTAAAAAAAAAAACTTTTAATTAATATATTTACCTTCACGTATTCTTCCCAAACATGATCTTTATCTATGCTTATCATCTTTTTTGTTGAATCCCAACTGAATCCACTTTGACTTAATATATCACTCACTACTCCATAGAACTTTTTCCATGACTTAACACGATTTCTAATATTATCAGCACTTATCTGGAGATTAAATTGTGCAGCTAATATATTTGCAGCAGTATTGTAAGCAACTGCCTTCCATCCACCATCTCCTTTGTGACCTAAGCTGCGCTCCTCCCGAAGTATATCAGCTAATTCACGTTCCATAGCTATATTCCACCGAAAATAGTTTTTGTCTTCTCCTTCAGGCTCAACTCCTTGTTTGTCTTTCCTTTTCCTTGACTTTCCCTTGCAAGCCTCTTTTCCTTCAGGCTCAACTACAGTGACGCATACAGAGTTGTTTAGTATACATATATAGAATTGACCCCAAAAAGCACAAAACAACTACAGTGACGCATACATTGACGCAAAACAACAACTACATAGAATTGACCCAAAAAGCAGAACCCTTTCTCTTCTATAACAAATAAATACATATATAGAGTTGTTTAGTATATGGATATGCATGAACCTGAAAGAACAGAGACGCATACAGAGTCGGAGAAAGCAGAAGATCAGAGACAGGAAGAACAGAGACTCACAGTTTTTTTCTTACTTCTCTGGCTCGCAGCTTTTTTTATAAAGCGACAAGGCAATCTGTTGTTCAGGGTTTCATAGGTTTTATAGAGCGACAAGGCCTCCAAACTTGGCGCTGTTTTTAAGTTTGGCGCCTTTTTTCTTTCTTTTTTTTTTTTCATGAAAATTTTGGC